TCCACACAAAACTATCATCACATTATTTTTACAGATGATGTTCTCTTTGTATACTCAAGCAATGTTCGAGTACCTTTTCTAACCAAATTTTAATGTATATGTCCATTGATTGTCTATTAATTACAGCTTTTTGGTGTAAAAATAACATGTACATCTATTCAGTATTGTTGACGCTCATCAACTCCAACGTTACCTTTACCTTCAAAAAGAACAATTGGTTTCATTCGTTGATGTTTACTGAAAATCGCCAATATAACCGCGCAAAATCGCTAAAATGATTGAAAAAAATGGTCAAACATTCAGCATTTAAAGACATTTACAGTTTATACTACAATAAAATTCGCCAGATCTTAAAATTTTGTATTGAGATGTTTCGTAAGTGGTAAATTATATGACTAGCAGCAATCATTTCTCTTTTTCAAAGTAATAATGAAAGAAAAAAAAATAGCTTTTTATAAAACTCTTATTCAGAAAGAGTAAGAGGCGATATTATATTTAAGACTTATAGTTTATTATACTTGTTTCTATTGAGTGAGTATAGATTCATAAATGAACCGTTTTTTAAGAAAAATAGAAAAAAAAGAGAATAATTCGAAAGCATAAACACCCGACTTATAATAAAATACCTAGCATAAATTAGATACAACGTGATAGATTACCTTGTTGCTAATATATCCATTTACTTCGTTATTTGTACCAATATCATTAATAGATCTTGATCAGATAGAGAATAATCAATAAAAATTCGTTACAGTTTTTCTTATTCTTCGAAGGTTATTTTATTGTCATGGATTGTTTTCTCATTAGAAATTCTTCTAAACAACAACAAGAAGTTGTAAAAATAAGCAAACAAACTAAAGTTTCATACATCTATAAATGAATTTGTTGCGTTTGGACCTGTTGTACAAAGAATTCCTAAAAGAATATAAACGATATTCAAATTCATCATTCTTCCATTCAAGAAAAGCCAACTCTTTGCAATTTTGATAGATTACTTTACCTACTTAGTATTAAATAATTATAAAGTTTAAGGACAATAGGTTTTACTATGAACGAGAAATTGTAACAATGTTATTCCTAGGGTCTCTCACATTGTGCATTTTTCGTACAGCAGATGGACACGTAAATTTTATTCTCAAAAATGGCTCTATTTTGTTGAGAAGTCGAGACTATATGCATCATATGTAGACTCAAATGAGCTATGAATACGCTGAAAAGAATTCATGTTCTTAGCTTACTACTGCAAAGATACTGCATCTTAATGGTATTTTTTAAATGAATGCTTTTGACCCTTCAGGAAAACTGGTTCTCGAATTTCGATTCAAAACTTTTCATAGAGATAGGCTTTAACAAGGGTAGTTTATGGTTAACATTCGTTTAAAAAATACGTAAAAATGTAGTATTTCCATAGCAGTAAGCTAAGGACATGAACTTCTTTTAAACGGTATTCATAGCACTTTTGGGTGTACATAATGCATATAATCTGGATCCAAAAGCGATTTATGAGTTAGAGGATTACTCTCTTTAGAAAATCCCTTTTAAGAAAATAAAGAATTTTTTTTTCGTTTTTCTTTTTCAGGTCGAGCTAGATCTATGAGAAAAAAATAGCTGAATTTTATAAAACATGGTTAAACCATGAGAACTAACTCTTTCTCAAACAAGAAAATCAAAGTCAAGAATTTTGACAAGCCTCATATAGATTCGGATTTCTGAGGCATGGGAACCTTTAGTTTATTTTCATCAAATTGAGCTATTTTCTTGAAATAGCTTCTTCAACTAAAAAAATCGTAGTCTATACGTACATGTTTAGATCAGTGTAAAGTAGTACGTAACACCAATGCACCATCACCGTGGTACTCCTAACATGTTTCTTGTTATTTCAAGAGGATAGAAAAAATTGGTAAAATACTACATGATAATATGACAACAGTTTCTCATTGATAGTAAAAGCTATCGATCTCAAACTGTGTGGTTATTTACTACTAAGTAGATACAATAATCTATCAAAATTGCAAAGAATTTACTTGTTTTGAATGCAAGAACAATGAATTTAAAATTCATTTCAAAACTTCTAGAACATCGTCCTTATTAAATCATATTGTTTTACTTTTTTGAAGTCTCAACTAACAATTATTTCTATTGAATTTAAATATTTCTACTTACCATTTCTACAACATGATTGAGGTATATCTTCTCCAGTTAATTTATGAAAATAACTTTCACTATAATCTAAAATTGGATTATCTAATCCACAACATGAATACTAAAGGAAATATAAAAATAAAAATAAAAAAAAAACTTCAGTTTAGTTATTGTTTACTTTTGTTTGTAATTGATTCCAGAATATTGTGATTGGATTTTCAGGTATATTATCATAATCTCGAATAGATATTTGCATATATGTTTCTAATTTATTTATCAATAAATTTTTCGAAAAATTTAAAATAATTGGAAAAATAATAGTTAATGCAAAAGTCATAAGAATACTCAATATACCAAATAAAGTCAATAGAAATGAACAAACTAATGCACCTAATAATGAACATAATGTTGAAACAATTAATAGAATACTATAGAATATTAAATAACCAATAACCTATTTAAAATTGTTTTATTTCTGTAAGTTTTTCTTTTTTGAACGTTTAAAATTTTCTATTAACGAACCCCTTGAAAGAAAAATGTTCTATAAAATTTACTAAATGTACGAATAAATATTGCCATAGGTTGTTGTTGTTGTTGTTGATCATTAACAAATATTAAATATATTGCAAAAACTAGAAGACTAATACCAATAATCTACAAATAAAATTTAAAGATTTTTAAAATAATTTTTTCTTTTCTAGTTTTTTACGAAGATCCATGCACTTGACATTATTGATATATATCTTCCTATTGTAGCTATTTGTGGTAAAAACTATATATTCATCAAGTATAACATTATTATTTGAATTAAAATCATTGTCACATACACCTTTAATATCGTATTTAAATGGATGCTATTCAAGATTGATAAATAATTATATAATCTTAATAAAATTTAAATACAAACTTTGAATGTACGTTTCCATTTTTGTTTAAAATCTTTTTTAAATGAATCAAGTAAATATAATTTCATTGACACATAACGTTGATAGGCTATATATTCAAGACGAAGACGATAATCATCACTCTGTTGTTGCAATGCTGCATAAGGAGCCATAAGAGGTCCAAATAGATCAGCTACACAATCTGGACAATCATAATCAAAATCTATATCATTATATTAGATAGTTAAACAAACGATGAAAGATAATAAATAAACCTGTTTGAATAAATGAAGTTTTTGATTGATTAGATTCTGAAAATTGAGGAAAATTCATAGTCAATGCTAAAGCATGATCAGGTTCGAGTGGAATAAAATATTCATCATTTATTTCATTATTAATAATTGAAGTAGTTTTTATTTCCATTGAATTATATTTTTCTTTAGTTCAATCTATTTAGTTCATCAATAATATTTGTATCTTTATTCGCGCTAATATAAAAATAATTTTGTTATAGTAGTATTAAGAAAAAATTGAAAAGAAATTTGTTTTCATTTGATTGTTTTGAATCTGATTACATTCTAGTGTATGTCAAATTGAATTGAAATATTCATATCTGTCTATCGTATGAATTAAAATGACTGTATTTTCTTCGAAACAAAAAAACAAACAAACAAACGATTTTAAAATAGAAAAAGTTATTGTGTTCTAACCTATTCAACATGCTCTATAAAATGGAAAAATCAAAACAACGTTTCGATGAAAAGTTGATTATTTTAGGAAATCAACATATGAAGACCTGTGGAAATTTTTCGGGCACATATTTGCAATCAGTTCGATTGATAATGTGTAAATCAGTAGTTGTCGTTAAAAAAAGCGATTCATCAATTGAAACGATTCCTTCATAAGACGTGAATTCTAAAGGATTTTCCTTGACGTTAATCATATTAGAAACGATAAGTCATTTACAGAACATATCATTGATCTATTTCTCTCATCAATCGCATCACTAAAGAACGAAATGATAAATAATGTTAATATCGCATCTCAAATTAGAAACTTCCGAAAAATGATAGATGATGTATCCTCATTACCCAGTGCAAAGTTTTTTGTTCATCAACGGGAATATTTTAATACCTACCCATCCGTTCCGATGACAATCGAAGAATATAAGAGAAACTAATCATTCGCTATATTATTCCATACAATTCTATCTCCTCATATTACTTAACACTTAGCGATGTGGGTGCGCTGGCATGGATAATGAAAGAGCTCACATCAACACCGACCTATACACTCTTAAACTGGCAAAGCGATATTAAAAGAAACTATTTAATAGCGATGGAGTAACATTGTGAACAAAAATGGATGAAACTTTCGATTCATCTAAGTTTGATCTCGGTTGTCTTCATAATTATATATGTGGAACGTATTCGTTGAACTGAGCAAACATGACACCGTGGCTCATTTTGTATGAAAATGAATATTTGTTTGAACTGCAAATATCATCAGATAATGATTGATTTAATCAATACCGACTTCATAATCGTCATTCAGGAAACACTCCATATTTTATATGTATTGAATTTGATAACAACGACGAAGATGAACCTATCAAAGATCATTTTTATTAGTGCAAAGATGCTTAAGTTCTCATGTAGAGATGGTGCTCTGGTAAATTGAGTATGATAGTCATATCGAATGGACGCTGGAAATCAGAACGAATTAATTTCAAGAGAAAATCAAGTCTTGCTAAAACAACTTCAAAAGAATTACAGCAAAGTATTTTCAAAATGATCATACTTATTTGCATCGATTTCGTCTGTTATTTTCAGCAAATGAAACCAAAAAATTGAGATAAACTATATTACAAACAGACAATCATATAGTTCGAAACAGATCTACAATCTATCTATCATAGCCAGTTTTCAAAGAATTATTCTGTTTTAAAAAAGTTTGTATGTCATTGGAGTTTTGCGCAAGAGGAGTAAATGAAAGATAGTGCCATACCATATTGTTAGAAAGAGCTTTTTCTGATGCAGTTTTGATCATTGAACATGAGTTTGATATTAGATATGACAAAGAAGAATGTGATCGAATCAGAAACAAATTATGAAAAGTATAAAATCTTACAGAAGAGGATGTGGATGTGAATGACGATAAAGAGAAGACCTGCAATCACCCAAACTTTCACATACCATTGAAAAGCCTTAAATATATTTACATCGCAAAGCCCCATCAATATCTACCTGTAAAAATTTTTTCTACTATTAATTATGCACTGGTGAAGAAATACAACGTTCACGTAACCACAAAATAGGAGCTTTTTATCGGTACTAACCAAAGGTCGATGCATGGATGGAAGGATGAATGTGGATGTGACTCTTCTCTTCTGTCACCTGGTCATCCACAAAACAATCAACAACCAGCCACCCAGTCACCTACAAAAACCTACTCACAGACTTCCAATGTGGCAAAAAGACACAGTGACCTCTTTATGTATCAAGTGAACTCCATATTGTCTTTATCTAGTTTTCTTGTCTTGAGCTGAAGTTAGTTTTGCATGCGATGAAAAAGTCAATTCCTAAATAGAGCTGGGCAAGTCAAGTCAAAAATGCCTCAAGCCAAGTTAAGTTAAGTTAATTGACAAGTCTTGGTCAAAAAAAGTTGAGGTTATGACTTGACTTGATTTGGCTAAAAACGTTTTGAGGCTTTGACTCGACTTGAACTTTACTTGGTCGAAAAAAATTTGGAATTCGACTTGACTTGACTTGAAAATATTTTTACTGACTTGACTTGTGACTTGGAAAGTCTCTGATTTGCCCAGCTCTGGCCCTAAAGCAAGTCTATTAGAAAAAATTCAAAATATTCTGAACGTGCACACATTACGAAATTGTCTACCTTACGCGCAACATACAGGCGCGCAAAAGTTTTTGTATCGTTCATACTACATGTCATCCGACTGGGAATGGTTGACGAAACAAATTAATAAAAAAAGAAGATAGAATGGATATTGACTGAAAT